TTCTCGCATTTTGTAAAACAATAAATTGCCTTGCTGGTGAACCAAATTTTTCAAGACAATTCAATAAAGCTTGGACCACTGATTCTGTTATTGAGCATCAATATTCCGTTGTATGAATTCTTGATTCATAATTAAACTGTTACGTTTTTAATCCTGCGCGACCATTTTGTGTGCTAATCATAGTAATTGTGTTTTGGTCGAGCAGAAAATAGTCAGAGAATTTGCCATGACTTCTCCCGCCACACATGCTAAATAAAGTCTATAAGAACAAAAACGAAATTCCGGTTTAATTGTGACAGAATTCTATTTTGCTTTTAATTTAAAAAATGTTTACTTACATTTGCCTTCGTACTTTTTTGCGATGGTTTCTGTATTTATGATAAAGAAATCTAAACGCGGTAAAGAGACACGACTATAAAATCAGCTGTTAATATAACACAAATCGCAGTAACCGGCCATTTTCTACCGTGAAGACCGTGCACAACTCTGCATGACCCTGCATCAAAATGTTACAGGCATTTTCCTAGAAGTCCTGAAACTGAGCATTTTATACAGTGATTAATAGAGCGCTTTCTCTACATGGAAGTTATACCTGAAGTGTGTCTCAAGATTTTTAGTTTGTTTGAATTGTCTTGAAAAATTTGGTTCACCAGCAAGGCAATTTATTGTTTTACAAAATGCGAGAAATAATTCAAAGTATAAACAAAAGGTAAAGGCGAACTCTGAATCTTCCAGACATCAAAGAAACTAAATGTAAACTACTTTCCGTCTCAAACGAAAAGACATCACTCATTGTTTCTTACGAAGTCTGTCTACGTACTCTTGGTTTTCTTTCACTTCGGAACTGTCCGGTCCGAAAGCTAAACGAGCTCTATCGACAGAACACTCGGCATGTTTGAGTGCTGCTGTGTAATTCTGCAAAGCTTCATAAGACCTTGCCGTATTATAATGCATAACAGCCATTGACGAATGGTTAGGAGAGGGCAATGTTTCCTGAATTTTGAGTGATTTCTCATAGTACTTAACAGCAGCCGTCTTGTTTTCCATTGACAGATGCACTGCAGCAATGTTGCTATATGCAGTAGCAAGCGTTGGATCATTGGCCGATAGTATGTTGTCTCGAATAGCAAGAGCTTTTTGATAGAATGGCAGAGCATTTTGATTATCACCTTGTGATCTGTAGGCTACACCAACATTGTTATAAGCGGTGGCTAACGCAGGATCATTGAGAGAAAGGATTTTTTCTTGAATTTTAAGCGCTTTTTGGTAAAAATGTACAGCATTCGGATAATCTTTCATGGAATAATGCACAGATGCCACAATGCTATACGTAGTCCCTAACAATGGGTCATCACTAGAAAGAGACTTTTCTCGAATAGCAAGCGCTTTTTGATAGAATGGCAGAGCATTTTGATTATCACCTTGTGATCTGTAGGCTACACCAACATTGTTATAAGCGGTGGCTAACGCAGGATCATTGAGGGAGAGGATTTTTTCTTGTATTGTGAGTGCTTTATCGTAAGAAAAGGCCGCCCTAGAATAGTCTTGCATCTCATGATACGCTGAAGCGAGATTGCTGTAATTAGTTGCCAAGGATGAGTCATTGCCAGGGAGCATTTTTTCTTGAATCGCTATTGCTCGTTGGCGAAAAGTGACAGCATGCGAGTAATTTTTCATCGAATAATGTACAGATGCGATGCTGCTATATGTAGTCGCCAATAATAGATCGTCAGTAGCGAGGAATTTTTGTCTAATTTCGAGTGCCCTTTCATAAAATATGAGTGCATTCTCAAAATCTTTCATTAAATCATATGCGACAGCAATATTGTTGCAGTTTGTCGCCATATTCGAATGTTCAGTTAAAGGAGATTTCTCGCGAATTTTGAACGCTTTTTTATTAAATAAGATCGCATTCTGATAATCTTTCATTTCATGATACGTTGAACCGATGCTACTGTAAGTTGGAGCCAACCGAAGATCATGCGAAGAATAAATTCTTTCTCGAATATCCAGTGCCTTTCTATAGAAAGAAAGGGCTGTTGGATAGTCCTTTTGTGCAGAATATACTAATCCGATATTGTTGTACGTAGTACCTAAATCTTCACGATCGTCAGCAACAGAATTTTGTCGAATTTCTAGGGCTTTTTCATAAAACGACAATGCATTCGAGTGATCATTCATTTCATGGTACGCTAGACCAATGTTGCTGTAGGTAATAGCTAAATCAGGATGGTCGGTTGGAAGCGACTTTTGTTTTGCTTCAAGTGCTCGCTCATGAAACGACAGGGCACTCGAATAGTCCTTCATCGAAAAATGCGCCGATCCAATATTGCTGTAGGTTGTTGCTAACGATTGATTCTTAACAGATTTCGATTTTTGTTGAATTTCCAGTGCTTTTTGATAAAATGACAAAGCAGTTGGATAATCTTTCATCGAACTATGAATCAGACCGATATTGTTATAAGTGACAGCCAGTGATGGATGGTCGTTTGGACGAGATTTCTGCTGAAGATCAAGTGCTTGTTGACAGAGCGACAATGCAGTTACGTAGTCTTCCATTGATCGATAAACTAGACCAATATTGTTGTAAGTAGTGGCCAAACTCGGATGAGTCTCCGAGAGAGACTTTTGCTGGATTTTGAGTGCTTTTTGATACATTGAAAGTGCTTTTGATGTGTCTCGCATGTTGCTGTGGGCTGCACCGAGATTGTTATAACTGTTAGCCAGATCAGGATGCATGGTAGGAAGAGATTTTTGTCTAATTTCGAATGCTTTTTGATAAAATGAAAGTGCTGTTGGCTTGTCGCTCATCAAACTATGTACTGAACCGAGATTATCGTAGGTATTTGCAAAATCTGGATGATTTTCAGCGTAACATTTCTTTTGCACTTCAAGTGCTTGTTGATAAAATGAAAGTGCAGTAGAGTAATCTCCTATCGCAGAATGCACTGAGCCCATGTTGTTGTAGCTTGATGCAAATTCTGGATGATTGGGACGAAGAGAGTTTTCTCGAATTTTCAACGCCTTTTCATGAAATGAGAGCGCTGTGGAGTTGTCTCCCATCGAACTTTTCACTGATCCGATGTTACCGTAACTGGTAGCGAAATCCAGATGCTTGGCAGGAAGAGATTTTTTCTGGATTTCCAGTGTCTTTTCATAGAACGACAGTGCGGTGGGATCATCTCCCAGTGAACTATAAATTGAACCGATGTTATTGTAGATAGTACCCAAATCTGGATGGTTGGCAGGAACGGTTTTTTGTCGAATCTCAAGCGTCTTATCATAAAACTGAAGCGCTGTCGAGTAGTCTCCCATCGAACTATGAACGGAACCGAGGTTATTGTAGGTAGTAGCCAACAAAGGATGATCCGAAGTGAGAGATTTCTCTTCAATTTTCAGTGCTTTTTGATAAAAAGAAAGCGCAGCTAAGTTGTCACCCATTGATTTATACACTCCCGCGATATTGTTATAGGTAGGTGCGAGCGAAGGATGATCGGAAGGGTGAGATTTTAGTTCAATTTTGAGTGCCTTTTCGTACGATTCGAGTGCAGACGCATATTCGCCTCTCTCGTTGTAGACATATCCTAGTTGATGGTGAATATGAGCAGGATTGTATCGGTTCTTTTCGTCTTCTGAATCAAGCAGAGGCTTATAAATTTCTTCAGCTTGATCAATCTCGCCCATTTTGAGCATCAAATGTCCTAACCGTTGCCAAGGCGTCCCTCCACCGATCTCTTTGCGGAAGCAATCAGTAAGTTTTTTCAGCTGTGGATCATTGTCACTTGTTAATAGCAAATCCACTTGCCACAACCGCTCTTGAATGGGTTGGATATCTGTAATACGAAAGACGGTATGCATTGAAAAAAGCATTTCGTCCTCGTATTCATAAGAGCTGCTTGATTTTATCAGAGCAAATGGAACTGACGAAATTGTTGGATCAGTTTGCATCCGAAAGACAATTGCAGTCACATTTGGATTGGTATATGCGCGAACTGTAAATTGTACTGAAATTTCAGACTTAATGCTCGTTGACAGAAAATTGTTGAAGGAGAGAAGGCCACCTTTGCTAGCTTTAAGCTTCTCAAATTCGTCGGGTAACATGCCTTGCCCTCGATAAACGATAGTCGGCCGTGATTCGTCCCGTTGTTCACCATGCATTGTTTTGATTTGTCCATGAAGATCGCGCACAAAGAATCCCATCTTCATGACAGTTTCAATATCTTGTGTTCGTAGAGCTCGATTAAGCATCGCATATAGGAAAGACTCTTTGGTATACCACTGAATGGCTATGTCGCTGTGATATTCATCTTCGAATTCATCGATGAGGCCCAACTGAAGATCATCGTCGGAATATCGTTCTCGACAAAACTCGACAAGTTTGCCTTTTGACTTGTGATCGTATTCCATTTCCAGTAGAATCTCTTTGAGCAATAATGTGTACATGAAGGATTGATCAAGTTCACTCATATAATGGTCCGAAGTGTCGTTGACGGGGAGAATGCTAATAGGAATCAAACCAATCTGACCAGTATCAAATTTAATCTTGTTAAAAATACTTTCCATATCAACAAAAATTCCTTTCATTTTTTCGGCCCATTTATTTGCCCAGCGTAATTTTTGTCGCCTTCCATGGGTTAGTATATAAATATAGTCGACCTGCGGTTTGTCGTGAATCTGGGCTACGAGCTGCTCGCCCAGAACATCCGAAACGATGATGGATATTTTTTTGTTGTCGAAATTATTTACATATGTGATGCATTGATCGGAATCAGCACATGTGTAGACCAAATTAGTGACACGTCGAAGTTTAGTTATGGAGTCTTGATACGTTTTTTGGGTCTCATCTATGTTTGAGTCCACCCAGATGACGACAAAATTCTGGGTAGTATTATGTTCCGAATGTAATGAAGGACTGGCAGGTTTTTTTGGCAAAATGATGCTTTTCTGAGAGGAGGCACTTGTTATTCTCTTCGCTACCACAGCGTGAGATGAGGCACTCGGTATTCTCTTCGTGGCGCCATTCTGAGATGAAGCGCTCGGTATTGTTTTTGGTAGATTATCGTGAGTTGAAGAACTGAGTATCTCCTTCGACTGACCGTTAGTGTCCGTGTGTGACACAGATGGATAGACGCGGGTAGATGATGAACTTCCACATCCCATTAAGCACAAACTAGTAGTGATCCTTTACCAGAACAGTAAATTTGATTGTCTACTTGTCATAACCAGGTTTGTTGACAACGAGCGCCGTCTGATTCGTTCTTCGTGTGCTACGCCAATGAGTGCTTTTTGTGAAGCTGAGAGGATGAAATCGTATCACTAGAAATATAGAATAGTATACGTTTATATTTGAAATCTTTTGTGGTTTAATCAAATTAGGAACTGTTTTGTTATGAGGGTGAGTTGAGTGTAGTTATGAATCGGAAGGAATAAATACTAAAAATAGGAAAAAGCATTTTGGACTGATAAAAAATGGAAAAAGTGAGATATATACAAATGCAGCCAACATGTTTACGCTTCCTCATATTCCCATGTAATCATCGGAGGTTTCCTACACGCATCAAAGCGCGTTTGATCGCAAATATCCCTTGACGATGTGCTCCTGATTGGCATACGTGGCTGACTGCGTCAACCGTGATTTTTTCACTTAAACTCTCTGGTCCTCTCCGAAAGTGTTCGCGTGTCTTTCAAGAGGAGAGAAGCGTCTATCCTACTATGCGTTCCAAAATACAATGGTCTCGGATATTTTTCGAATAACTTTTCATAGAAATGAGACAGAGACCTGCGGCTTTCAGTTTTGAAAACTAGACACTTGACCACATATTTCTGTAAGGCAAAGCGAATTTCGGAAAAACTTTTTCAAGCGGGTTTTTCAGAGGATCTGTGGAAAACTAGCTTGGATTTTCCGAAATTCACATAGGCATGTATTGATTTTTTTTCATGGGCTGATAGCCCGGGGTGTCATCTTCAAAATGGAAGTAAAGTGAGACCTTGATTTTCTGCGGTTCGGGCGTTGTATCGTATTTCCGACGAGCCCAAGGACTGGCACCCGGTGACTCTTGGTAGCCTTAAAGACGGATGGACTATGGATAATCAACCATACTGAGTCTTGTGGCAATATTTGTTTTCAGAAAAATCTTTAAAAATCTACCGAAAAGCCAGTTTTACGAAAATTAGAGTTTTAGGCTGTTTTCACCGAATATTAAAAAATTTACTATTCAGTCAAAAAACATCACAAAAAACTGAAAAATTTCAGGATATGATTAATGTTGTCCGATAGACATGATTATAAGATCGACAAAAACGAAAACCAGATTTTCTTAATAGGTTGTCCAGAAAGCCTTTTGGAAAACTATAGGGTTTTTAAAATTTATTTCAAGATCTCCTATAAACAGGATATAGAATAGCTTAAATACTCTACATTCTGAGGTTTCGAACTCGTTCTGATGTGTTTTGACTGAATAGTAAATTTTTAGTAGAGTTTAGTAGAGTTTACTCTCTAGGATAAACCTGGTTTATCCTAGAGAGTTTATTCTTTTTCTGTTTAAAAGAGGAAAAGAAACTACATGTACTGACCGGCGCCGCTTTTTGAATTAGGTCCTAGCCTTCTGTCAAATTGAGGAGTTTAGAAAATCCGGAAGGAAGGGAGCAGACTTAAACAAATTAGATGTTAATGATCGAATTAGCCAGCTGTTCACTGCAACTAACTTCTGCGACTTAACTTAAGTATACCTAAGTTAACTTTATTTTATTTTATTTTATTTAAGTTTCGGTTTAAGATTTTCTTCTCTTTTTCGTCATTAAAAAAAGGAAAACTTAAAAGCTAGATATTAGCTTAAAATAAGATTTTAAAATTATTAACAAATTTCGAAAGAAAAGGTTACAAGTCAATTTTTGTAGCCTAGAAACAATATATTATATTCAATTCACGAACATTGTCAATAATATTAATTACGGGTAGAAAATTACTATCATTGACATTGTCGAGTGAACGAATTTTCTTTCTTTCGTATTTCCAGCGCGTGTATTTTTAGAATACGAAAGTCTGAGGTGATGTAATTTGAAAAACTGATTTCATCAACAACTATGGCGTACAATTTAAACAGTTGTAAAATACGCAGAGAAAACCAACTGCAGCCGTTTTACATATTTTTATCTGCTATTCTCTTTTTACTAGTTATAACTTCGAGCCTAATAGCTGTAGTTCGAAGATTACAGTAAAGGAATAGTAACGGCCTTCGAGATCGTTACAGGGGGCAGGCTTAAACAAATTAGATGTTAATGATCGAATTCGCCGGCTGTTTACTGTAATCGGTTGCAGACAAAAGAAGTTAAAGGAGCTTTTCAACTTTAAGGTGCTACCGTTGTTCGAGCGAATGTCACACTTTCGGAGAGTACTTTTCGTGAAAGGTCTTTGTTTCACAGATCGCCATCTTTCTACGCCATGCATTTAGATCTTCAGCAAGGCTTAGCATGTTGTGCGGTGGTCGTTTGAGCAATTTTGTAGGTCTTCGTAGAAGATGTCTTTTCCTGCGTCGCTTTTATCATTTGTTGTCATCATGATGGTTGATAGAATGCGTAATGTGGTCAAAAGGAAAAATGTTATTTCAGTATTATTCTGCTCTGAGTGTGTATCGCACACAACTCATTACGTACCATTTGTCGAATTTATTGACGTTTATTTGCATAAGAATATATGAAAAATCTAAAAATAGCAGAGCACCTGCTCGATTTCATAGTGAAACATGCACAAGGTTACGTTTAGTCTTGTCAGGTATGAACCCTATTGACAATCATATACTAAAGCTTTATGGTTCACATTATGAAGCATATCGTAAATTAACACTTTGTGCTACTAAACAACTAGAATCACTTCGAGCTCGAAAATCTTATTTATCAAAAGACAAAACTATCAGATTAACTATACATGAGTACGCCACACTAGACTAATAATTAGAAATAAATAGCATAATTCTGTTTCTATATCCTACTGAATCACACAAGAACATAAATCATTTTAATTCAGTGGTTACTAATAAATTCGTTAATAAAAAATCATTTCGCTGAAAATTCGAGATTATTGGGCTGTTTCAATTGTAAATCGAATCTACATATATCATATCATATAGCAGAATATATATCAGCATATATTGCGTTAGGTTGTAATCAATAATCAAATTAGAAAGTTTGTCTTGTTCTGTCTATATGTCATGTATTTATCGTCATGAAACAGAAGAGAGAAAAACGAAACACAACAACTGTTCATTCATAACTACGCGTTCACTTATTTTTGACGACCTTAATGTTTTTTTTTCAAATGGCCGTTTTAATCAGTTCATATTCATGGCGTAGAAAGCTGGCGATCTTTGAAACAAAGACCTTTCACGAAAAATACTCTCCAAAAGTGTGACATTCGCTCGAACAACGGTAGCACCTTAAAGTTGAAAAGCTTCTTTAACTTCTTTTGTCTGCAACCGATTACAGTGAGCAGCTGACTAATCTTTCTAGAACAACAAGTGCTTTTTGATGGAAGAGAAGAGTATTCGGATTATCTTCCATCCATTGATACGTCACAGCGGTATTCTGATAGGTGTTTGCCATTGAACGATCACTGGAAAAAAAGGATTTTTTCTTGAATTTTAAGTGCTTTATCGGGTGTAATCGGGTGATTGCTAGATTTCTTCTAGTTGCAACTGTCCATTTATCGCCCGATAATGAATCTATTGCTAGTTACAAACGCAAATGCATCTAGTTAAAAGTCCCTTTTCCAACTGGTAATCAAGATGGCAACTGGTCGTGTATCGCCCGATTACAGACGAAATGTATCTAGATTGTTCCCATAAGTGCTGTTTGCTTGGGGACTCTAATTGAAAAAACTAAGATAAAAATTTGACAGCATGCTCGCATAATAAATTTGTATCGCTATGATGGCTCAACATGTGTCTTTCTACCCTAGTCAACCGCGCGTACAGCAATTCTATAGAAATCTTATAAAAATCTTATATGAGGCAGTTGATGGAAATGCGTAAGATATTGATAAGACTCTTATAAGAATTCGGTAAGATAGATTATATAATTAGTTTAGAAGAGATCATAAGATTTTGATAAGTTAACATACGAACTTTATTTACATCAATTAAAGCGTTCGACTATATAGAAACTAAATAGGTAACCCTGCACTTATAAGATCCTTCGAAACACGGGAAATCGTGTAGGAACTTATCAAATGCTATGAATTCGTATATAGAATTACTAGAATTTTGTCAGAATTATATTGAGAGAGATTTATATTTTGCTACAACAACTCATTAAAATGTAAACTCATTAAACCTACATTTTCTGTTGCGATCAAACTTTTCTTTGACCACTGGTTATTGAATGATGAGTCATGTTAGTAACTGTACATGAAGTTCCCTTATGATTGCTTCTAGTGCTTTATTAAGACAGGTATGAAAAGAGTTTCGATGCATATTAGTTGTATTCGAGCTGCTCTGTTTTCTACGACTTAAAGAGTCCGAATTGAATCCGATCTTTATAGACAAAAAAAGGATCTCAAGTAGCGCATTTTTCTAGAGATCGATTTGAAAAACGGGATTGGAGCAAACGCGCAACGTGTCGTACCCTATATTCTCGTCTCGCACGGTTTTATTTTTCGAACCTCATTTTCTTCCTATAGTCATGATAGATCTGCGGAAGTAAATCCGGTCTATAAGCAGTCGACAATGAGGACGAGTCATGAGACTGTCCATGTGGGACTAAGATCCTATTACAGAAAATTAAATAAGTGGAACGAAAATTATTTATTCACCTATGAAACCGTAGATTATAGTAAAAAAAGTAGAATATAGGGTACTAATCACTAAGGAATGTGGTGAAATTGTAGTATATCTTTGCTATAAGATTCTAATCGAAATCTTATCTTATTTCTTATATAAGATTCTTATCGAATATCTCACGCATTTTCATCGACTATCTTATTAAGAAATTCATAAGATTCTTGCAGATGTTCTATGAGATTTTATCCAAAGACCTGGACCTCATGCCGAAAAACTCGCTACGATCAGTTGTACTATCACTAGCGCTGCGACAGTTTTTCCCAAAAAATTTATTTCTAATAAACGAAAACACTTTTCATAGGAAATCGATAGTCCTGATTACAAAGC